CTGCCACGCGAATTGCTGACGGTAAGCTGAAGCTATTTCTAAAATCCTCCTACGTCTACTTTTCCCTCTCCCTTGCCACACTGTTTCACCTAGCTAATGTGATGTTACTTATAGGTACCATTTCCCAATGGGGCGAAGTACCGAAGAAGACTACGACCCGTGCCAAGGCGAAGGAATCATCTACTTCGGCCGGTCTTGCCGAATCGACTGGCGGCGGCAGGCCTACACGTGGTAGTCGTTCGGATGGTGCTAGAGGTGGGCGCGCCCGTGGCACCGAGAGAGGTCGAGGAGGTGGCAGAGGTCGAGCTACCTCTCATCCTGCCACGAATGGCCATCAGTCCAAGGAGAATCAACAGCTCTCCGTTCCGACTGGCCAGGCGTCAGACTTAGAACCCAGTGCCACGAATGAGGAAGCGACTCAGTCGACTAGCGAAGCTACAAAAACTCCCTCCCCCGCCACTACGACCACCGACTCTATGCTCGTTAAACCCACTATTATCCCAACAAGTACGCCTAAGACTTGGGCTAGCATGCTACGACAGTCGACCGTTACCAAGCCAGTCGCGAAGCCGAAAGAAGCTCCTGCTCCGAAGGCAAACGAAATCTTGGAACCCCTGCCCCCGGCCGAGCCTACTCCACTTGAACCCGAACCTCAACCTGCTGTCCAGGAGACACCTAAAGAGGTCGTCGAACCACCTGTTTCCTCAGAGACTCCCAAGGTTGTCGAACCTGAAGTTGCGTTGCCCCCACCGGAAGACGACTTGACCAAGGTCAATCTCGAACAACTGCCTGACGAATCCCAACCCCCGGCAACTGCTACGGCTGCTAGCACGGCCGCGGATTCCTGGGACCCCAGACAACAGCAGCAGAGCAATGCCGCCACTCCTCTTTCGGCTTCACAGGCTCAGCACCAGTCGACTCGCCCCGCCGCGAGTGGTTACGCAGCAACTGCTATCAAAGCGACGGAGCGGCCTGCTCCGCGTATGCCCAGCTACCAGAAGCGTATTCTCGAACAGGAAGAAGCAGTCAGAATGCCTGGCAACCGTGAAGTCGATCGAGCTGCTGTGCAATTCGGTGCTTTTAGCTTGAACGGAACCGAAGACGACATTGACGGTGATCGTGAAGATCCCGAGACTAGAACACAACCCCCTCCCGAATCTCCTGTGGCCGTTCCACGCGCCTCTTTGCCTCCCGCCTCTCAACCGGCCGCAGTTCCTGAGGTCTTCGTGGCGGCTCAGAAGCCCGCCACTTCCCTACCTTCGGCACCCAGCGCTACTGGTAGAGTTCCCTCTGTTTTCGAGCTTCTTCAATTCGCTAACTCTCAGCTAGCAACGCCCGTAGCACCCCCGACAGGTCCAGCCGCTACTACAGCTCAGCGTATGTCGCAATATCCTCAAATCAGTCGTTCCACTAACCATAATTCAGCGCCACAAGCGCCCTCAGGCAACCAACAGTTTGGACGTTATAGCCAAGCTAACGTGCAGGAACCGGCCGGCTTCCCCCAGAAACCGTACGACGCATTTAGCCAGCAAACAGCTGTTACCTCGGCTGGTCTGGATAACTACCCGACGCCAACTACTCAAGCGCCAGGACCCCAGACTAGTGGCACATTTAGCTCCGCTCCCAGCGAGTATTCGTCCTACTACACAGCTGACCCTCAGAGTCGCAACGCGTACAACAACTATTACGGTCAGCAGTACGGACAACAGCATGGCGGTCAGGGTCATCATGAAACGTCTAACGCCGCGAACCGCGGCTTCGCTGGTTACAATGCTGGCCAGAATGACAACCTTAGTCAGTATCCGCAAAGCGGTGCTCAGCAGAGCAGATACGGGGCTGCTGCCGCCGCTGAATCTCACAACAGCGGCCATAACACACCCAACCCGATCGGCCAAGCCGGTCAGCAGGCCTCTGGTCAAACTAACCAACCCCAGTCCAACCTCCACCAGCAGCCTCATGCTAACCAATTCCCTTACTCTCACCCGTACTACACGAGCCCATACTATGCTCAGTATATCAGCCAGTATGGCGGTGGCTACGGACAAGGTGGATATAGCGGTGCCCCTTACGGCAAGGGTGGACTTTATGGACAGCCTCATCAGTTCGGCATGTCCCCCCAAGGCCCTTATGACCATAGTTCTTCTCCTGCAACTAGTGGTTTCGGTCAATCTAATCTTGGCGCTCGTGAGACGGCATTGGGCTCGAGCATTGACAACTATGGTCGGGCAGGCTCTGCTCAGTCGGGTGCTCCTGGCGGTCTTGGTAGCAGTGGATTTGGGGGAATGCACGACACGTTTGGACGCGGCTCTAGTTACCCTTCTCAGGCCGGTCAGGCCTTCAACGCTCCAAATGCACCTGCTTCGAACACGGGTTCAGGTAACGATGATTTAAAGCCATACGGTGACTCGAAAGCTGCTGGCGGACCTAGTCCTTCTCTTACCGCGGCCGCGCGACCGGGTTCTGCGACCAACACTACCCCCGCAGGATCCGGCCTTCCGCCTCCACAGTCAGCTCAGCAAGGCATGGGCGGATATGGCGGATATCCTAGCCACCTTAGCCATGGTCTTCATGGAAATCAGTCTGCAGGTAGCTACGGCCTCGGTGGCACTGCCGGCCAAGGTCACGGTAGCGGTCCGTACGGAGGTTACAGCGGCAACCAGGGTTATGGAAACTATTACAGCGGTCGCCAGCAGCAGGGCGGTTGGGGCGGCAATTATCATTAGGAATCGCACCAAAGCCATGCACCTGGTCGGAGAGCGCGAATTAGGTCAAACGTTACTAGGTACCGAGCTAAAGAGACCCATTGAGATTGGTGACGACGATGATCACGACCTCTTTTTTCCGCGTGGTTGAACACGGAACTTTCTCTACTCTAATGAATTCTTGAGGGAACTATCTACCCTCTCGTTGATATTGGCGGGGGCATGGCACGGAAATGGGCCAGAAAAGTTCTTGCTAAGTGGTACCGGGGATCGCATGTACGATTGTTTTTCTTTACCAGGGGATCCGTCTTTAGCACCAAGGCTACGGTGCATACACTAGGATTAGGTTGATACCGAGAACCATAGCTTTCGTACTCGGATGAAAGTTCAGAAGTCTCCATGTTCCTTCCCATTTGTGATTAGTGATTCCTTGCAAGAGGTTGACTATAGGTGCAGCATGTTGATTGACAGTCACTCCTAGCTTGAAGACTGTCTTCTGGACGTGCCCATGTGGCAACTGTGTTAATAGGTACCTAGTCTGTCTGAAAATCTTCAAATCGGCCTTTGCGGTTTAGAATATCGAGATAGGCCCAGATAGGTGGCTAGCACAGTAGAACCAATCCTTATAACAACGTTGTCCTTCATCCGATTTACCTACCTACCAATTTTGACACCGCTTTCATGAGACGGGGACGGCAGTGATGAGTACACTAGGTAAGTAGTACCGCTATAAGCTGGGAGATTCGGATCGCTAGTCCCAGCATTGACTTCTGAGAGGATGCCGATGGCTAAGGCAGCGTCTACAGCGCGGTCAAGGGCATTACAGGATTTCGAGGCTGGTGGCTGTTATATGGAATGTGAAGGGGGAAGGGGGGAGGGAGGAGTGGTACTTCAACTTACGTGGTGGCAGGCTTGGCCACTCGTCCTGGCGTCCCCGTTGTATTTTGCACGACCTAGCGGATGGTGTCGGTGATGTGCACTGCTGTTGAGTGGCCCTTGCTTAGAGCTCTGCTTGTTGTGTAAGTCGACACGCCGTTATTTGAAGGAATTAATGATCGTGGGCTTAGAACCTCAGCTTGCCAGTTACAGTAACCCAAAGCCACCATACTATCAACGACTGTCTCCTTGTCCGCCACGCCGTACGTGTTGGAAGCGATCGTGCCGGCGCCGGCGGTGAGAGTACGTGTGGCTTCTCTTGTCACAGTTGGCGAAGAGTGTGACTGACGACTGGGTCTCAGACGTTTAAGCGCGCCACCCAGTCTACTTCTATGACTCGGACCCGAAGCGTGAGTAGTCGTGTAGATTATTGGGTTGGACTATTAAGATTACATCCTACTACCCCGGGTCTGCGCAATGGTGTCGTTGTCGAACTCTCCCGCATGTATCAAAATCTCCAAACCCGTACACCTTCTCGAGTCCGATGGCTTTGCGCCGAGAAAGGCTTCGCTGGTGTACGATGCTTGCCCGATGTAGGTGGACTTTGACATCCACATCAGGCCTGAGGCTCGTAATATATTTGCTCGGAATGACGTCGCCAAATTGCAGATCTATCAAATCGACCGATCTAACAAGCGCTGGGGACAACGAGCGCGATGAGACCTAGAGCTAATAAGGACAGGGGTAAGAAAGCGCCGGTGAAGAGGCTACCTACATCTTATGCTTGTCTATTTACATCTTATGCTTGTCTATTTACATCTTATGCTTGTCTATTTACATCTTATGCTTGTCTATTTACATCTTATGCTTGTCTATTTTATAAAACGGGTTCTGAGACTGCTAGTACATTTGTCCGTATAACATTGGAAGTGAATGAGTTCGACTTATATTACAGGTCAAACGGAAAAGCGAAGGCCAAACTATTACGCTGGAAGTAGAAATTTGTCGCACCGGTGTGCTACTAGGATCTCTCGACGGCCGGTTTGATGGCAGTTCGTATACAAATGCAACAAATTACAACAAACCAACGCTCGGAGCGTTCTACACATTCAGTCCACTCAAGTTGGGGGTAACTAATAACGCGTTTTGGTATATTCATACCAGGGATGGCGGGATTAAATCAAAAGTTAATGTAGAGGTGAAAAGAACGTTGAGCCGCATGGGTTGATGTAAGGTCAAGAGGTAGACCTGTTACCGTATGGAATCCCGCACACCGCAACATAGAAAGCAGGTATCCTCTGTCGTAATAAGAAAAACCCAATATCAAAAGATAAAATAAAACTATGAAGAGGAAAACAGTTAAATATGGACGAAGGACTAAGGCGAATGACGATAAAAGCGAGAAAAGTAGGAAAATAAAAAGAGTTCCGGCTGGATTCGAACCAGCATCTCCGCTTACGGATAGAATCTGGGTCGGGCTACCATTACCCCACGGAACTTATTGACAAGGATTATTATTTGTCAGTATATGTGCTGACCCCACACAGGTAAAAGTTTCTCCGAGGAAATACCGGCACTACGCTAATACTGTAGGAAGCGGCTTCGTGCGCCGGAACTCAGGCAGCATCGCAAAAGGCAGTTGTACGCTTAAGCTCCGACTGTCGATTTCCTTTATTTTCTCTGTCGTTTTGGCTCTTTTATTGCCTAAGGCAAATACCAATCTCGTACTTAGGAATTGTTTAGGAGAAGGTGTATCACCGACATACGACAATCAAGCCATGTTGCGAAACGCGGACCTAGAAGTACCATCCAAGACCCAAATGCAATGCGCTGGTTGGGATGAACCTATTATGACATTTACGCCCGGAAACCTCTATGTATTATGTACTGTTAATTCTCAAATCACCGGATACTTCGGGCGACCGGTGCGCAGCCACCCTTCAATGTTCTCCTTCGTAGCCCGGTTATAATTGTCGATCGTGTCCGAGGCGCACCACGCAACATGCGGCGTGGTGACGACGTTGAGATCCGCCGTGTCGGGGCCAACCAGGGGGCTGTTCTCCGCGCTCGCCGGCTCCTGCTCGTAGACGTCGGTGCCGTAGCCGGCGATCTTTCTCGCCTTCAGCGCCGCGACCAGGGCTTTCTCGTCTACGATGCCGCCGCGCGAGACATTGACTATCACCGCGTAAGGCTTCATCGCGTCCAGCTCGGCTTCGGATATAAGATTCAGGGTCTCGGGAGACCGCGGTAGGCACAGCGCAATGACCGAGCTTTCGCGAATCAGAGTATCGAATGCTGTGCGGCCCTCTGGCGCTGCCGAGTCCTCGGTGCCAGGTGTCGAGGTCTTCATGGGCGAACCGGCGGCAGTGGCCTCAAGCACTTTACTAACACTACCGTTTTCCCCGTCTGTGGCGCGGCCATTCGGCACAGTTGGAGAGCCCTTCCGCCCAGCGATCAGGACCTTCATGCCTAGACCTTTGGCAGCAGCCTCAAGCGCCTTACCCACCGCGCCGTACCCAACAATCCCCAGCGTCTCCTCCCGGCACGTCCGGGGAGGCCTGCCATCAGGCCCATTGAGCACCTCCTGCAGCACCCCCATCCTCGGCCACGCCCCCGCCCGGACCAAGGTATGCGACAGGACCACGGACCTGCGCGCCGCGAAGTACAGCGCGAGGGCGTGCTCGGCCACGGACACGGCGTTGCAGTGGGGCGTGTTGGCGACGACGATGCCGCGGCGCCTGCACGCCGCCAGGTCCACCGAGTCGGTGCCGGACGCGACCACGGCCACCATCCGCAGCCGCGGCGAGACCTCGGGCCGCAGCACGTCGGCGCCGATCGGCAGCACCGTCATGATGAGCACGTCGGCGTCGCGGATGCGCTCCGCCACCTGGTCCGGCCGCGTCCGCGCGTACTCCCTGAGCTCGTACGTGTACGGCGCGGGCAGCGCGAACGCCGGGACCGGCACGAAGAAGGTCTCCAGCGCGACGACGACGAGGTGGGTATTATCATTCGTGCTCTGCGCCATGGCCTCTGCTGTTCGTTTACCTGGCAGTGCGAGATACCAATGCTCGCCTAGGGACTGTCGAATATAACTATAACGGTGGTAGGGGAAATCCTATTTTGAGAGGTTACGCACGTAAAATCCTGACGGGGAGTGGGTCTCTTTTCGAGACGAGGGCCCCGGACCCATATCCCTCGCCGGACCGGAGATAGTCGTGTAGTCGGTAGGGCGTGCTCGATCGTCGCACTGCGTGCGCCATACATACTGCGCCATATCTCGATCATCCCTGCAACGCGCGTCTTGCCGACTCGCTTATCCGGGCCAATATTGCAACCTTCCACTACACTAGCATCGCGTGGGCGTGCGTGTCTCAATGCAGATGGTGAAGTAAGGGGGGAAGACCGACATCCCCACACTATTGCACAAGAAAGCCAGGATACTATTCGTCGATGTGGGTGACTGGCCCCCTTTACGGATGCTGACGTAATAACCTCGGACGGCTTTACAATATATAACCAGAGCGGAACAACTGGATGGCACGTAGGAAGGTAAGTTTGTAATCTTGAATAATCTTTTATTTGCCTAGGTATTTGATATGCTGTCCTCCTTGCCGGTACACTATTCCTCGAATGCCGGCGACACCACAGGCTTATTCCGCGCTCCTTTGCCCTCTAAGCTTTCCACCCTAGTTCTATATCCGCACCAACGTGTTCATGGGTAAGCCATTATGAGACGTTTTGGTATGAGAGTGTAATGTGACGTGCTTCTTCACTACTGGACTGCTCTTCCCCTGGAATCAATATTGGCTTCATGGCTTAGTACGAGTCTCGCACAGAACCAACTCGCCAAAGGCTTTGAACTCCGGCTGCGCAGCCAGTCCCTTCAACCAGGCAACGACGTTGGGAATGTCCTTGCGCATCTCGGCGTCGATGAGGAACTTGCCGCCGTAGTATAGCGGGCCGGCGACCATGATGTCGGCCAAAGTGACGTTGTCACCGACGAGGTACTTCTTGCCGCCCTGTAGAGCGACCTCGATGCGCTTGAGCGCACGCTCCAAGGATGCCACAGAGCTGTTGTACTTCTGCTCGTCGAAGGGCTGCATCTTGAAGAGGACCATGACGGCGGGCGGGAAGAGGTGCGTGTTCAGCTCGTTCTCGGCGAAGTACGACCACTGCGAGATGAGGGCTTGGGTCTTGGGGTCGGTGCCGAGCAGCTGGTCCTTCTTGGGCCCGGAGAGCGCGAGATAGTGGCAGATGGCGGCACTCTCCGCTAGACAGAAACCGTCTGCACCCTCAAAGGCGGGTACCTTGCCCATGGGGAACTTGGCCAAGAACTCGGGCGTCTTGTTCGTCACCTGCATCTGGAAGTCCTCGGCTAGGGGGACTTCGAGGCCATTGTAGGCAGCGATGACTTGGGCCTGCGAGGAAAGTCAGAATCGTGCCAGGTCGGATTTAGACTCACAGAGAACTTACCCGCTGAACACGGAAGTTGTTGGGGTAGGAGTAGATCTTGCCAAAGGGAGCCATGGTCGTTATTATCAAGTGGACGAGGTTAGAGTTGTTGTTTGAGTTATTTGAGTTATTCGACTTATGGCGAGGTGTAATCAGGTATAGCGAGGTAAGTGAAGAGTCTGTTCGCGATGTTGCAATTCGAGTTGCTGATGTTGTAACCGGGATGCGGATACAGATAATATACCCCTCTTAGCCCTTGACCTCTTAGATCCATGTATTCACGCAGAATGTTCAGGAAGCGACATAGAGCTGTCTGGAAACTTGCATTAGTAATCTAGTACTCGGTGTAACGCCGCCAAGGTTACGTCTGAACATTGGTTCTCTTTCCCGATGGGGCCAGTGGATACACGGCATCGGCATCGCGGGCTTTGAAACGTGTCGGTTGCAATGCTAAATGCCTTAGCTTGGTGGGCAGGTCTAGTACGTGGAGTTGAGAGGCAAGCGGTGACGAATGCGTTTTACCCGTCTCAAAATATCGAAATGTGCTCGACTGGTTGTTAATTCTTACTGATGCTTATTCATTGTGCAACCTCGTGGTTCTATATGCGCATCCCCTGTTACGAATCGAAATTTGAATCTGATTTGTGAGATCGAGTTATTTAGAGATAAGCTCAGCCGGCACTCGGGACAATTCCGAGGATCGAACTATGAGCGCATTAGTAAACAGCCCGAGGCTGAAACACACCGAGCAGCTACGGACACTTTTCCCTCGCCGAATCTGCAAAGCTCTCGCGAGACGGTGTGAAGTTCTAGGTTGTCAATGATGCTGATTGGCTGGATCACTAATGCAATTAGTACTTGGTAGTCATCGTGGAGAATATACCTCCAACCTTCTCTACTCGGCTTGAACCTGTAGGTCCACTCTTGATTCTACAGACGTGCCTAGTTGTAATACCCCGTAAAGATAAAGTTCTGGATCGGCCCCTGCCAAGGGAGTAGCCGCTGCTTGTTCTGACTGCTGCTGATCCAGCAGTTCTTCTCGTCCTCACTAGCGGAAGCGTAACAACTAACGGGGCCACCTCGCACATACAACACAGCCGCCTGTCGTGCTCCCTCGCCCCAGTCCACCAGGTCTCTATCGTCTAGTATAAAACACTCGTACTCGGACAGGACATCGTAGCTGCGTAGTTGCCGCCCAACGATAAGTTCCCAGCTTCCCGTCTCGCAGTGGTACGTCGCCTGCTCGGACAGCAGGACGTCCCAGAAGAGTCCCATTGTCATGCCGCTAGGAGGCAGCTCCACTTGATAGTAATCAATGGAATCGCCCTCCGGCGCTGAATAGCTCTTGACGACATCAAGATGTGTGATGGGAGCATGGCCGAAAGTAAGGCTGATGTTGCGCCAGCTCGCTTCCGGGCAGAGATATGCCTTGCGCTGGCTTTCTCTCTTGGCCCATGGAAGTCTACTGAATGGAAGTGTATAATCGCCATTTAGACTCAAGTAGAACATTCTCTTCTTTTCCTCCACCGAGAAGCAATCGGCTGTATTGAACAACCCTTGGAATTTGGCATTCCAGAGGGGGTTTATCTGCGTCTCCCCAGCATTCTCCTTAGCGTTATATGTGGTGCTGGTATGAACATTATGTATGGCGTCCTGGACTAGCGCATGGAGTCGTCGGTTTGTGAGCTGTGAGGTGATGAGTGACTGGAGGTCGAGGGTGGCGAGGATCTCAAGTATGGCGATGAGAAGCTCGTTGGGCAAGTCCAACAACTTAGCCATTCCCCAGTCGAAAGTAGACGGAAAATAATATCTAATTATCCTAAAATCGAATATCTTCTCTCGGTTAAAGAGCAAAGACGAGACTAGCTGAATATCAACGGGATAAAGATGTTGGGCTGTTTGGGCCGCTGTAAGCGTAGGTAAATGTTCAGCTACAGTAGCCCGGAGGCACCTAGGAAGGAAACGAAATGCCCCACTCTGATCGCATGGGGCGCGGGACGCGTGCTGAATTGAGTTAAGTTATAGTGGAGCGAACCCCCTACCGGTT